TGTGGCGATGGCACTGGTGGCACTGGTGACAGTGGCGTTTAACCCCTCCGACCCGGGGCTGACAAAGGTCAAGGCTGGGTCCGGACCCCTCTGGGCACCCTCTTTCTCGTCCCAGTGCCAGACCACCCCCCCCAGTCTCACCCATGCCCACCTCAACGAGGCGGTGACCTCCCTGGGATGGTGGTGTCACCTCCGCAGCCCTCGAGGACCATGGTGGGACACAGCCGGGATGAGCTGCAGCCCCCCCCCCAGCCAGCCCTGGGCACATCCAGCAGCCCCCAAACCCGGGGCGAGCTGGGGCAGATCCCGGCCATGGGCTGTCCCCACCACGGCTCACAGAGACCCTCCGGACATGGTGACAAACTGTCTCCATAGCGGGGAAATCCCTCAGGGTTTTGTACTTCTGCCAGGGAAGGTGGCACAGAAAATTGGGCACCAAGATGCCCACATCGTGCCTTCCTCTCCTCAACTCTGCTGCAGCCCCCCCCGTGGCTATTTATAGAGCTGGGGACCCGCTTGTGCCCAAACTGCCCCAAAACACATCCCAGCTCCGTGTCACGGCACTGCTGACCGCACGTGTCCAGGTGCCAACACGCGTGTGCCCCACGGGGACCGGGCTACGTGTCCCCAGGAGCCCCGACCTTGGCTGTCTGGGCAAGGCGAGCTGTACGTGCTTCGGGGCAGCAGCGTGGGCATCGCGGGGACGCGGGGACGCAGGATGGAGCCACTCCGTTATGAAATGTCCCTGCGGCCCCGCGGTGCTCAGTCAAGATTTAGCGAGCGAGCGGCTCCTGATCCAGATGAGATCGGGCATCACAAAGGGTTTTGTATTCCAGGAAGCCTATTAGAGATTTAAATTATACAAATGGGCTTTTTACCGAAGATCCTTATTATCTGGGCATTTGCTTTTAATCCCCAGCTAGTCCTGCAGCCCCTGCCCCGCGCCCCCACCGCAGCTCCGCTTACCTTCACCGTGTCCTCCGTGGGGCCGTGCGTGCCATGGGGACGGGGACGAGCCCTGGGGTCGGTGTGGACCCACGGGAAGGGGTCTGCAGGGTATTGGGGAGACCCTGGTTGGGTTTGTTGGTGCAGCCGGGGGCTGAGCCCCTCTTGCTTTGCCCTCTCCCCTCCCAGCTCGTCCCAGTACCCCAGCAGGGATGGTCCCTGTTTGTCTGCACTAACCTTCCTTAGGGCACGGTCCCAGGGCACCCACAGCCGCCCTGGCCATGCCTGGGCTCCTCCTGTGCCCCCCCAGCAGTGTGGGTGCACATAAGGATGCTCCCATGGGCACGTGGAACCAGTGAGGCTGAGGGGGGGGGTGATGCTGGAGCCCAAATCACCAAAACCTCTGCATGTGCCACCGTGGCGTGCCAAGCCCTGGGCATCATCGAGCCCCATTGGCTTTGGGGATGGCAACCGGGGCAACGGCAAAGCTGACACTAACACACGCTGCCCTGCGTGCACACGCATGTGCGCAGAACCATGCACCCCTGTGCTGGGACACAGTGATGTGTCCCCCCCCCGGGG